GCGCCCCGACGTCAGAGCCCCGCCCCGCCTGCCCGCACTCGCCGATCTCCGTCGCCGAGGGCAGCGCCGCCTCCTGCGCAGCCGAAGCAGCAGCAGCAGCAGAAGCGGCCGGTGCCACTCGACCGCTCGCCGCCGCCCCCCGACCGCCGAGCCAGAAGCCGAAGCCCCGCGCGCGGCCGCACCGCCCGGTCACCTTCACCCGTTGGCGCCCGTAGGCGCACACCATCAGCGTCGCGCTCTCCCTCGCGCTCCTCGCCGTCGGCGTCGGTGTCGCCGCCTCGCCGCCGCAGCCACAGCCGCAGCCACAACCGCAGCCGCAGCCGCGACCGCTCGCCCGCTAGTGCCGGCGCACGTGTCGGGCGTCAGTCGCGTAGTCGCTCGCGCTCCCGCAGCCGCGGTTGGGGGGGTAGACGGCGCCGGTCGCCGTCGTCGTCGCGGTCGCGGTCGCGGTCGAGGGCCTCTGCTCGTCCGCAGCTTAGGACCGGCCGTGATCCCGCCGCGCGCGGCCGACGCACTACGAGCTCGAGCTACAGCCGCAGCCGCAGCCGCAGCCGGACGGGCCGTCGCCGGAGCCCGAGCAGCAGCCGCAGCAGCCGCAGCAGCCTGAGCAGGTCGGTGTCGAGCAGGGACCGTAGCCGCAGGGGCAACAGCTACGAGAGCCGGAGCCGGAGCCGGAGCAGGAGCCGAAGCACTAGCCGGCGGCGTTAGGGGCTACGCTGCCTTTTTTTGCTGTTGAAGGCAGAGAGTATTTTCTTTGTGGTCTTGTTACCTACTCCCCGCCAGCTTGCCCTTCTTCCGGTGCTTCTCCTTCTCCCCCTCCCCTCCCCTCCCTCGTTATTCAATATTCGAGATAGCTTTGTGAGAAGGAAGTTCAGTCCGGGAGGACTGAGTGCTAATTTCAATAGGAATAGTGGGAACGGCAACGAAAATATCTGTCGAAGGTATAAGAGTTGTATTGCCGCGTGCCTATCTCCCCCTGTGAGAGGAAGAGCGAAGAGGGCAAGGAGAAAAAGGATGGGTGTGGGTGGTGTGTGAAAAAAAAAGAATGAAAATGGTGTCCGGCTGGCTGACAGGGGACACAAGTTGGAGCGGGTGGCTCTCAAGCTCAATGAATATATAAAGATAGTGGATGTTGATAGAAGTGAGGTAGAAAGGACAGACGGTGAGGGATGAATAGAAGAAGAAAAAGTTTCAAAGATAAAAGGCACAGCATTAGATCACCCTGATCTCTTTTGAGCGGCCGGATCTCAAGCCACCAACGGGCTACAATACTCGTGCAGATCGGCGAGGGCGCGGAGGCACTCCTTAGCGTCAGCGGGGGCCAGCAAGGCGGCGGCAGCAGCGGCAGCAGCTGACCCGGCAGGAGCGGCGGTGGCGTGGGCGGCAACGGTCGAGACGATCGAGGCCAGGGCACGGATGTTCCCTGCGAGCTCAGCGGGCGGTAGCGACACATCGTAGTCCATGCCGCCGAGGAACTCGAGCTCCATGGCCAGCAGCTCGCGAGGGGTGCGCACGCGGCTGACGCGGCACCAGCTGCGCGCCGTCGGACTGGCATCCTCCGCCGTCTTGTGGGCCAGCAGCAGCGCCACGGCGAACAGCCGGAACTCGAGGCCGTCCGTCGTCGCAGCGCCGGGATCGTGCGATGACGCCGACGGCGAGATCACCGCCGCCTTCAGGGCGTGCGGGAAGCGGCGCTTGAGACGCGCCAGGTATGTCACGGCGGCGGCGATGTGGAAGGCCGAGGAGCCCGACCGCGCAGCCAGGCGGGCGGCATAGGCGCGGAACGTGGCTGCGTGCGCCGCCGGCGCTGACAGTAACCGCAGCACCGCCAGCATCGCCAGCGCACCGAGGGCATCCGGTCGCGTCGGTGGCAGCGGTGGCGGCGCGGCGACGGCTGCGGCAGCAGTGGTGGTGCTCGAGGTCAGCTGGTGTGTCTCAACTGCCGTCGGCTGCTGCAGCGGGCGGAAAGAGACGGGCGTCGGCGGAGCCGGGGGGGATGGCGACGGCGCCGGATGGTGGCGCTTTGCGGTGGCGGCGGCCTTGAGGGCAGCGATGGCGGCTGCGCGGGGTGAGACGACGACACCCGCGACGGGGCAGGCGGCCGGGGTGGTTGCAGCCATGGATGAGACGGGTGCCATTGTCGTCGTAGGATGAGTGTGGGAAGGCACTTATTCGCAGCTTGGCATCCGCAGCTTTAAGCCAGCTGCTGCGACAGGGCCGGGAGACAGACGGGTTGCAGGCACAACTTGATGCGACAGAGGCTGCCTGCCTGCCTGCTGCTGCACGGTGGCGGTGGTGGTGATTGGGCGGTGATTCGGGGGATTTGCGACTTTGTGCATTATTTATCAGTGGCACAGTCGAAATTTTCGTGTGTTTTCTTACGGCTGTGCAGGAATGCACCACGTGAGTGTTGGGTGGGACGAGGTCGTGAACGTAATGTGGATGTGGGCGAGTGAGTCTGTGTGTATGCGTGTGTGAATATGAGTGTGAGTGTGAGTGTGTGTGTGAGCGAGTATGCGGGTGAGAGAGAGCATGATGAGTAAATGTGTGAGTGAGTGTTCGGGAGGAATAAAAATCGTGCTTGGAAACGTTAAGCTTAGCTCACGACGCTGGTCACATGCCGCGCACAAACGGCACCCCGCCTGCGGCCGGCCCCATGAAGCCAAAGCGGGCGAGCGCTGCCACATCGCCGACGTCTCCGTCATCGCCGCCATTGACTTCTGGCAGTGGCGGAGGATCAACCGCCACGGCTGTTGTTGTCGCTGTCTTTGCCGTCTTCGCCGGCCTGTGCGTGCGCTCTCTCAGCCTTCCTTGCACTCGCTTCCCTGTGATCCATCCCGACAACCACGACTGATACCCTGAGCCCCTTTTCCCCCTGCGTCCCTGATAAATCGTCTGACTACTGTCTTTCAACAAGCTTCGCTCTTTCGTATCCCGTGCTGCGCACCGGACACGTTTTGCCGGCGCCGCTATCGCCGCCATCAGCGCCATACCTACTGAACCTCGATAGCAGCTGCCGGCGCCTGCGCCCGGACCTCGGCCTCGCTTGTGAGGACCTGGCCCTGCACCCAACCTTGGGCATCGTCTACGCCGCCTGTGACAGCGTTGTCGCGCGCCGGAACTATTTCGTCCCGCTGAAATGGCTCGATGATCGTGCCGCGGGATCCGGGGGGATCTATGTCGTCGACCTGGCGGTTGGTCAATTTCACTTAGAAGAGCAGTTAGGGGGGAGGGGTCTGGGGAGGGACGTGAGGTCGGGATAGCTTTTGGACTCAAATTTAATGCTGCGGGCACATGCAGACCGAAGAGCTGACGAAGCTGGAGTTGGACGGGCCGGCTCTATCGACGCACGGCCTGTCGATCCACGTCGACCCCGCCGACGCGTCGCGCGTGCGGCTCTTCCTCATCAACCACCGCCCGGCTCCGGGCAACTCCACAGTCGAGGTTTACGAGCACGAAGTTGGCCAGCCTGCCGTCCGCCACCTGTTCACCGCAGACCCCGGCCCTCCGCTCTTCCGTGACCTCAACTCGGTCGCTGCGGTCGGACCGGCGGCATTCTACGCCTCATCGTCGCGCAGGTTCCCCGGCCAGCCTGTGCTCGAGGTGATGCTGGCTAGGCCGTGGGGAAAGGTGGTCTTCTGGGACGCCGAGGCTGGAGTGGGCCGGTGCGTAGGCTCTCCCGACTCCCCCCTCCTCTTGAGCCTTCCCGTGACGCGTCCCGATTATTTCGTTTTAGTGTTGTCGCCGAGGACCTGTCGTATGTGAACGGAGTTGCCGTGTCGCGCGACGGACACTCGGTATACGTGGCCGAGACACTGACTGGGCGAATCTTTGTGTATGAGAGGCGCCGAAACAACGCCTTGGCTCTCAAGGAGCGTATTCAGATGGTATGGCCCTCTTCCTCCCCCCCCCCCCTTTCAAAAAAAATGTCGGTCTTGCCCTCCAAGGTCCCGTCGCTCATCACTGATACGATGGCCTCATGCGCTTAGGATCACTCGATGGACAACATCTTTGTTGAACCCGAGTCGGGCGACCTGTATTTGGCCGGCCTCCCGACCCTGCTTGACGGGCTGACACTTGCCGGTGGCAAACCCGACAAGGTCGCGTCGGCCGTGTCCAAGATCACGAGGGCCTCGGGTGAGGCAGTTTTCATGGGCCACGAGGTATCTTGGTTTTGCTTCTGACGCTTGTCTGCCGCGTACCCTCCCCTCCCCTTGCTTGTTTTTTCTGCCATTTTAAAACCCTTTGCTTCTTCTTCTCCGCTCTTGTCCTCCAAAACATCGCCCACTCTAACCTTCTGACGCCAATTTAACAGCACAAGGGCACCTACCTCACCAACATCCCGGCAGAGGTCGTGTCCGGTGCCACAACTGCCCTCGTGTCTCGGCAGTTTGGCAAAACGCTGTTTGGCAAGGTGTGCGACGCTGACATAATCGTCTGCGATGGCGCGCTTTGAACGAGAGAAGGAAAAACGAATGAGGGGGTGAGGGGGGTTAGGGGTATACATTCTATTGAGTGTAGCCAGCATTCTTGCGCACGGAAACCTCGTAGTTGACCTTGTAGGTCTGTTTCACACAATATCAGTAAATCTGAGTTCAAAAGTGGTGATTACTGAGCCTGAAAATTGAAACGACCATAACCAAAAAGCCAATCCAGTACAGAACAAAACTCGGGTGACGAATAAAACGTGCGTCAGCCGGGAATCGAACCCGGGACCAACGCGTGGGAGGCGTTGATTTTACCACTAAACCACTGACGCTTGTGCGTGGACCTTTGGAGTATATATTATATAGTTTAATTGATATTGGCCGACTTATATCTACAGTGGGTGGACAAAAGTCTTGAAATTTTCCTTCTACCTGACATTTCCAACCTGAAAAATTACAACATTTTATTCCAACTTCACCCCTCAAACAGAACACAATCAAAACATCCCATCCATATTTGGTTGTCCCCCCTTGGTTTGCTTTCACAGCCTCCACTCTCCTGGGCATGGGCTGGACCACGTTTTCCAAGGCGGTTGGGTCCCTTTCTTGCCATGCATGGAGTACCTTTTCTGGAAGGAGTGAGAGGTCACCAGGCTGATCCTGCTCCACCTATTGTTTGAGGATGGCCCACAGGATCTCCATTGGGTTGAGATCTGGGCTCTGAGCAGGCCAGGTCAGGACTTGAACTTGGTTTTGTGTCATCCATGCTTGACCACACTTGGCAGTGTGGATGGGTGCATTGTCTTGCTGAAAAGGGAGGTTTCCCTGCTTGGATGCCATGCCTTGAGCCCA